GATTTTGGTGACGAAGACCGTACTTGCAAAATCGCAAGTGCAGTCTTGACTTTCATGGTTCAGGGTATCGGTGGCAAAAATGGTCCCAACCTTTTGCATATTTCCTTGTAAATGGAAGTTGTAAGGGTAAAACTTTAAAATCTATTGTAATTGAAGTGATAAAGCAACTTCAAGGCATTAACTTGTATCCCTGCCATTTTGTTTGCGATCAGGGTAAAAATAATATTAAGTTAGCTAATTTGATAGGTGTAGATGAGCATCATCCCTTTTTTAAAGTCAACGATGAAGATATTTTCTTCTTTTATGATGCTCCCCATTTGATAAAGAGTACAAGAAATTGTTTAATAAGTAGTAAAAATAAAATTATTTTTAATAATAAGGAAGTTAAATGGGAAAATATTGCCCACTTTTGTGAAGTAGATTCCAAATCAAGTGTTAGGTGTGCGCCACGATTAACAATAGAGCACATTAGGCCAAATTCTTTTCAAAAAATGCGTGTGCGCTTTGCGACTCAAGTTTTTAGTAATACTGTTGCTTCTGGCATGAATGCTCTGTATAGTTCTGGTTTATTAAATTTAGTTTCTTCCACCGCAAGCACTGCTGAATTTTGTCTTTTTTTTAATAATCTTTTTGATATTTTTAATTCAAGCAGTATGTATAGCTTAGGTTTGAAAAAAGGCTTTAGTGGTTCCATTGACCAAATGGACTTTTTGAAAGAAGCTGAAATTGCTTTAAAAACAATAATTATCAAAGACGCCCAAGATAGAAATATTATTAATAATTTTTCCTTTATTAAAGGATGGCTCCTTAATATTAACAGCATTCGTTGTATGTGGCAATATTTATCCTCGAAAGGTTTTAAAGTCATAATGACTAGAAAACTTTGCCAAGATGTGCTTGAGCACTTTTTTGGGCAAATACGAAGAGGAGGGGGGAATGCCAAATCTATAACATCAGACTTATTCATAACCCTCTTTCAAAAGGGCTGGGGTCTTAGCTATCTGAATGTTGTCAACAAAGGCAATTGCGAGGAACTTGTAGATTTTGATTGTCCATCATTCGTAGCTTCTATTAGTGATCCCAGTTTAAATAGTTGTAATGAAACTGTTGAAAATGTTTGCAATGATACGTTAGTGAAAGATACTTATTGGCAGTATACGGAATCATTTTGTTCACCACAAACTTCATTTCTGCAAAATATTAGTTTCAGTGTAGATATTGATTTAAGTGAAGAAACATTTCTTAAGCTAAATGCTTTTACCTACGTTTGTGGTTGGATGTACTTAAAAATATTTAAGTCACATCATTGTTTAGCTTCCCTACCTTGCGCAAATAATGTTTCAAGTGATTACCTCTTCACACTTGAAAAAGAATTTGATGGTTGCAGCTTGGTACATCCTCCTAGCGACTTTATTAGTTATATTAGAAGATTAGATGAAGAATTTTGTATTTATTTTGAAAAAAATTACTCTAAGGTAGGTATAGCTCAATTTTTATATAAAAAGTTGGCTAACATACGCCCATATACTTGCTGCCAAAATTGCAAACCAGACAGTTTATTAATTCTTTTCATAAGAATGCGAATGCATTTTATTTTAAAATTTTTTAATAGGGACCTAAGTACCCCTGATTTCAGGCAGAAGCTTTTAAGGGTAAGTCATATGTGAGTTCTTGATAAGCATTTTCTTTGTACTCTTTTCAAATGTGCACAAATTTAAATTACATAGCTATTAAAAAATTTTTAATAGTTTTTTATTTTCAAATATATAAGGAAATATATCTATAAAAATGCGATAGCCTTTCGATTTAATTAACTACATACACCTTCACTTGTGTTTTCTGAATAAAAATTCACATAATTTCATGTTATTATTGTAAGATTATTTTTCAAAATTAACTACTATATCACAATTTTATTTTTTTATTAAGCAAAATACTATAAATTTGTTTTTAATTTTGTTTTTAAATTTTAATTTTTTACATGTAAAGATATTATATAATATTTATAATTAGCCAGTACAATTATCTAGTCCCAGATTTTTATATCATATTGAACATATTTTTAGTATATTATTTAAAAAAGACAATTTCTTTTCTATTAAATTATTGTTATTATTATTTCAATTCTTAAAAATAATAAATTATGAGTACAACTTGTACTTCTTTTAATTAAACCCAGCTAATATTCTTAAATACTTTAATATTTATTAATAAATATATTTTATAAATATGATGGTAAATTAAAAATTTTTCAATATTTCATAAATACTTTTTTATTAAATTGCATATAAAAATATTCCTGCTTAAAAAATTCATATAAATCTAATCATACAGTAATGTATGTAAATGAATAATACGCATTATTCACCTCATACATTTGAAGCGAATGCGCGTACATCCTCACCCATCAACAGATTTATCGCTACTGATCAGTTCATCGCTACTGATCAGAAATGCATGCAAATTAAAAATACGTACATTCATCACATAAATTTACAGCGAATGCGCGTACACCCTCCCCATCAATAGATTTTTCAGCACTAAATTTGAAAAATTTGCCTATGCAGAGAAATATAATTCATCATTCACCACTTGAGTGTTACCGTATAAAAAAGTAAATTGGTAGTAGCTTCGGTTTTTATTATTAATTACACATCATAACAGCATTTAATGATATTATTTCAATATTATATTAGAAATAATGTTTTATACGCTCAAAAAATATTTAAGAAAATATAAATCATTAAGTAAGATATAATCAATACTGCTTTTTTTATTTTATAAAAAAATTCTCTTCTACAAAAGTTTGTTGCCTAACATAATAAATCAAAATACTTTAAAATTTATATGAAAAAATTAATTAAAATTATGAATTTGCTGAATACATATTACATGATTAAGCAAACTAAACTGATTAAAATTGACTGATTTAAATGTTTATATATTAATTTATATATTTATTTATAATATATTTATGTTGTTATAATATATATTTTGTTTACGTGATGTGATATTATTAACCAAATAAGGTACGCACAACTTTTTTATATTATTAAAAGGAAAGCATATGATAAGCAAGTAGTAAGAAATTAATATACTGCAACCCCAAAAGAGAGTAATTTGATGTTATCGTGGTAAAATCACATGTATTCCATACGTGTGCCAAAGTGTAATAAATTTCTCTTCGTTTCGATGGAAGTGGGCGGAGTTTCCGTTCTTGTAAAAGTATTCTTTGGTTCTGTGCATGACATTGTCCGTAGCATATTATCTTCGTTGCAATGAAGACAGGCGGAGCTTCCATTCTTTCAATAGTATTCTTTGGTCACCTATTGTTGTATTGAGTATGTTCAGTGCATCAACCCTGCGTTTTAATAGCGATCAATGTAGTTTTCACTAAATCTGCAACAATGTATGCATGACTTTAGTATTTCCATTAATATCATTTATCGGAATGAATGTCATAATTGCAATTAGCTTCAATATATAATAAAAATGTTTGATAAATAATAAGAAATTTTGTGTTCTGTGGTGTAGCAGCAAATTTAAAAAAATATTAGAGCTGGCAATTACAATTGAATCAAAGAATGTATTGGCAGCATTTTCAATGAAATCATTGTCCATAGTAATTTTGGTATTCGTTCTTTAATTTTGCTGAAATTGTTTACATATAATATATTATTAGTATTTCGTGTTAGATGCATATAAGATGTCGGATGACACCATTATTAAATTGCTTATTTTAGGAGAAAGCGGAGTTGGGAAATCGAGGTATATTTTGCAAATTCCATCTTCGTGCCACTAACAATAATCTATTGATATTAGTACAAGTTAATTTATTGTTTATTACAAATTTAACCTGAACCAAACGGTTTATAAACATAGTAAATATATGTATATTGCTTAATATAATTTGAGTGATAAATCACACTAAGTATAATTTATATGGATAAATATGTAGGTAAAGTAATTCATTGTTACAGAATAGTGCGAACATCAATCATCAAAAAGGGGAAATGTGGGGGTTTTTGAGAATTAATTGGTGCAATAGTCTATAATTTTATGATTTCAAAATTGCAATTTTTTTGTAAGCGCGTTAAAGGATTTACACTATATTTGTTTAGTTTGAAGGCAAAAGTCCAGGAGTCATGATTTTTTGTTGCACCAAAACTAGCTTTGATCAATTACTAGATGTATGGAATTACGTACTGGCATTGCTATTTGTTTACTCAGTGTTTCATGTTAGTTCAAGTACTATGAGAGTACGCAACATCAATTAACTCGTACATTCTTGATCTTATACTTTGCCAAGACATTTGTTTTTAGTTTATACGACATAGAAGTTGTCTACTGCTTTCTATTACTTTTAGTTCGTTTTGTTGAGATATTCAGATTAAAGCAATGTCTGCCAAACGGCATTGTGTACATTTTATTTTTAGTAGTATATTAATTTTTCGGCTTGTCTTTAGTCTTTTCTTTAGTCTCAAATGCGTTGCCATCTTGATTCCATATTTACGATTTCTGTTTTTACGGCAATTTTCATTAGTATCATAAGAACTTGAATTTATCTAGTCTTTCTATTGCAATATTGCTAATCAAAAATTTTTGTTTGTTTATGTTGATATTGTTGGTGGTTTTGACTGTTGGTTTTTATACCCGTTTATTTTCAAATGCTTATGTAGAAATTTCTTCATAATATAAGTGCAATACAAGTGGTGATAAAATACACTCTTGCCTAACCCTGATCTTGATTGTTATCTCCTTTTGTTGTTATTGTAAGCCGCTGGGACCTGTAAGCAGATAATATAAAACGACACACTAGACGATAACATGAGTATTAAGTGGTTGGGTAGAGGTAAGGGGGATGTGGAGGAGTGGGGTGGAAGATTTATATTGAACATTATCCCGGATTTAAATGGAGAAACCTGACTACTTCAATTGGGTGAGTCCAAAGGTTAATTGGATGAATGTTAGTGTTTGCAGAAGGACCGGCGAACAGATCTCGTCATTGTTGGTTTAATCTTCACTTTTCTGTCTGGTTCCAAAATAATTTTTGAATAACTGCTTACTTTTTTTATTAGGTTGTCAAATGTCTCTGTTGTGTCCATTCCTTGTTTAAAATAGTAATGTATCATTCTGAGAAATATCGCTAATGTGCGACTCATCGAAATAATTAACCCCTAGTCTTTATAATGTTATCTTTTTTGGGAACCGTCACGAATGTTAATTTAAGCCAGGCTAAGGAATGTTATACAGTTATATATGTATAGTGAACATGAAACAATAGCGTCTATCAAAATAGCTTATTAATATATTTAGAAAACTTATTTCTTGTTATATACAAAAAAACAAAATTCAAATGTCTTATATTATTGTGTTCAAACTAGAAAAAAATTTGTCTTTCTGACTCTGTCGCTCAAAATATTTACAATTTCCTACGCAAAGTTTTTCAAACTTGGTTTCTTATGTGTTGTTTTAATGCATTCAATGCATAACTTTAAAAGTGCTTTTGTTACTATTTTACGCGATAAGTATGTAATAGATATCAGTTAAATATTGTTTTTACTTTCGTTAGATTACTATTTAAGATCCAGAATGATTTCAGCATTTTTGATACTAAGATAATCACCCCTATTCTGAATATTCCCAGGAAATAAGATTCTCCCAAAATGTACTATTCCCTCGAATAAGCAACTATGGCACACAACAAACTATAAGAATTGGGTATCATATATTAATTTAAATTTAAAAATCGCGTTTGTAGCACAAAATATAAGAAATAAATATAATGAATATTTTATAAGTAAATAATAAAAAACTTTTATTTTATTTTTTAAATATATACATTATTTATTTCTTATATTCAATAAAACAAAGTAAAATATCTCATTTATTAATTGGAATTATTAATGTTTTAATTAAAATTAAAGTTTCTCTCCAAAAGTCGTGTTTATATTTATAACTAGGATAGAAATGTCCTTCAATTTATAAACAGTAATAATAGTTTATAATTGCGCAAATGTTACAATAAAAAAGAAGCAACGTTTTACGTGCGCATAATTACAATAGATTATTTTAACTTATACTAGGAATCCCATTCATTCATTATTATAATTTTCGCCCGTGCGACTAGTGGAGTAACATTAGTACGACTTTCTCAGCATAACGTTCCTAGATTAGGTTCTATACATAAGAAAGAACAAATCATGCAACAAATAATGCCTCTACGAATAGAATAGTTTTGAAATTTAACAATTAAAAATAAAAAATATAATTAATTAATTAATTCAATTATTCTACAGCTGGTTTATGATTTCGTTCTAATATATATAATACAGCAAGTAAAATTGTTAATAAAAACTTTAATAGTAATAGTAACAAAACTTCAGAAAATTTCGAACAAAAAAGTAAGTACGGCTTTGAATCAGTTGCTGATCAGGTGCGCTGATTCTGAGCTTACATTTGCAGGACCCGAGTTCGATTCCTGTTACTTGAGTCTCAAAAATTATTATTTACGAATAAATTAAATACAAGAATTATTTCAAGACCACTGATGATGGGTATTTGGCAATACTCGAAACAGCTGTATGGTCAGCCAAAAATTCAATTAATTAAAATAATATAAAGAATAAATTTTTGTTGTTGTATTTCACTACTGTTCGAAAAAACCTCTTTATAATAATTTTAATAAAATATATTAAATAAAAATTTAAATATAATAAATTTATTATAATAATTTTATTAAAACATTTTCGTCAAATTGATCAACTCGTGTGGATAAAATAAAAATATTAAAGTTATTATAATAATTTTATTAAAATATATTCAAAAATTTGATCATTATAAGTTACTTACATATTAAATTAAACTCTTTTTTCCTCTTTTTTAACTTGTCTCCCACACAATTTGCTTGGGAAAGATTTTGTAGGGGAAAATAGGGAAAAACTCCCATTTCCATTTGATTCAGAATTAGAGAATTCCCATATTATTCAGAATAGGGGCACTGGGAAAAGAGATAAAACTCCCATTCCCATTTGATTAAGAATAAGGAAATTGAAAATAAAGAAAAAGCTCCCATTCTCATATTATTCAGAATAGGGGAACTGGGAAAAGAGAAAAAAACTCCCATTCACATGCGATTCAGAATAGGGGTGACTATTTTTTTTACAATTAAGTATTTTTTTTTAAATAAGGTATGTGGAGAAATGTGATTCGATTTGCGTCTTATTTTGTCGGTCCCAATTAACGATTCAAATCGGGGTCTTACTATATGGTAATTTCATGTTCACTTTTTAAATTATAGCATGTCACCTACATATTTGACTACGATTTTTATGTGCATATCATAGTTCGTAATACCACTTTGGCTATATCTAGTACTACATATAACATAGGTGGTGCCAAATGGTTGTCCTCGGCCATACTAAACACCTATTGGTACGATTGGCTGTCAAAATTAGAGTAATTGTTGTCTTTCAGATTTTTATTAAATTAAGTATTTTATTGTTGTATTTAGGAATATTTTACATATATATAATATAATATATAATAAAATATAATATATAATATAATATAATACATAATAAAATATAATATATAATATAATATAATATATAATATAATATAAATATAATATAATATATAATATAATATAATATAAAAAATATAATATAATATAATAATATAAATAATATAATAAATATTGAATATATAAATAAATAAATATAAATATAATATTATAATATAATATAATATAATATAATATAATATAATATAATATAATATAATATAATATAATATAATATATTCAATTTTATTTTATCTTTGTTTTATTTATATATATATATATATAATAATAATAATAATATATATATATATATATATATGTATTTATATATATATTTATATATATAATTAGAATTATCAAAATACTAATTATAATAATAAATATATATTTTTAATATATGAAACGATTTACGATGAACAAAAATCGAATCATCAAGCAAAGGATAAGCTTCAGTGGATCGCAGTATGGCAGCTGCTCTACCACTTACAACACCTTGCCTGCTACCAAAGTCGTTTACAATTGATTCTAGGCATTGTCATTATATTTTATAATGTTTTTATATATAACTAGCGCGTCATACAAGTGATAATATCCTCCTGCATTTGCTATGTTATATTTAAAATTGGCATCATTAAACATTGTCGTTATATATATGAAATAAATAACTTCGAATGGTTTGAAGCCATACAATACAATTGC